AGCTTGATCAATTGCTTGATGTGTTCATCGGATCAACTTTCAGATAATTGCAATTTGGTCCCTGAATTTTCATTTTGCTCCAATTTGGTCCTTTTTCGGCTCTTTTCTTCTGAATTCCACTATTTTCATAGAATCACCTACATTGCATGAATTCGACAAAATTAAGTAACAATTCAATCATTTTACTTGTATTTAAGTCATGCTTGTGATGTAAATAAGTGTACAAAAACACACTTATCAGACTGCCCCATGCAGTTCCAGCATAGCTGCTTTGAAACTTTGTATGTAGTTTTATTATGTGGCCTTTTGGTGGTGAGATATGGCTCTGATGATACTACTATTTGGGTTTTGAATATTGGAACGATAGTGAGAATCATGAAGATAACAAGAGATTATGCTTCATTTTTATTTTTTCAATATAGATCTCCTATTCAGACTTCTCTAGAGCTTGTGGTAACAGAGTCAAGACCAAAATCTCTATCACTGTGGCGATGGAGGTACTAAAGTTTAAGATTTGAAATTTGGGCTGTAGCACTAGATAATGTGACTTACTAGCATTTTATATGATTTCAAGAAGAGTGATGCCACTTAATTGTAACGTATAGTGCTGATCATGAGTTTTGTGATATGTCGATTACTCAAACTGAAAGTTTTATAATTTTGTAAAGTTTTTAGAATAAAAAAATATTTTAATGGACTTAAAACGTTAAACACTCAAACTAGATAGTGTATCTACGATTGTGAATCGTGATATGATAACATTTATTAAGAAATAAGCATAATTTTATAATAATTTTTTTTGCAAGAACTATACTGTAATTATCAGGACTTAACCAAGTGAAAAAAATAAGATTGTGAATTCCCAAAAAGATTGTCAGTAATAAAATAGAGATCGTGGGTCACTCTGATGCTGAAAAAATTAAATCTAATATCATTCAGATGAGCAGAACTTTTTAATTTCTATTAAAGAAAAGAAATATTAAATAGATCTCATTCAAGCTGTCTATTTATTATACCAACTGGCAACATCATCCGCACGTAATAATTTCCTTGCCCTGTCCGCACACTAGAATAATTTCAAACTCCGTCCACAAGCTCGACGCTTTACAACTAATTGAACAGCCATTTAAAGAAGGAAAAAGATGGAGGTACAAGGGCTCGTTTCGCAGCCCTGCCAGATGAAAGAGGAAGTGAGGGTAGGCCCCACCTTTTTTAATTTTTTAATGCATGTGGGGCCTGACCTCTATAGTGAGAGGCGTGTGAGACCCTTATGAACTAAGCTCCTTTATGTGGAGCTCGATCCTTTAAAGAACAACAATGTAAACATCGGACTCTAAGATCGATATACACTCAAAAAATTGTCAAAAACTAATTATCTGTTGCTTAATACACACTCTCAGACCATTTGTTCTGTATAAAATACCATTCTATTCTACGAATATATAGAGATGACAATAGGCTGAGCAGCATGAGTACAGCTCGTGGCTCATTAATAACCAGCCGAGCTTGACGTGAGTTCACTAGCTCGTAGGCCGAGCCAAGCCCATGAGCTCTAACATTTTTTTTTTTTTTTTGAAATTTTTAAACTTTTCTTTACATTTTTTACGAGCCCACGAGCCGCTCTTGTGCCGTGCCCATGAGCCGCTCGCAAAATCGACAAGCCCAGCCTTGCTCGGCTCGTTGGTTCCCATGACGAGCCCGAGTCGTCCTTGAGTCAAGCTCGTCGACTCGACCCGCTTGACATCTCTAAGAATATATGAGTTGCTTTTTTGTGGAATTTGGACAACCCATTTGCATGTTACCTGGGCCACGCCGGATAATGATATGTTGTTAAATTGTTGTTTTGTGGGTGGCAAATTTGGAATGGACAAAACAACTGTGTCGAGAAGTTATTGGTGACAGACCAGAGATGGCATGTTGAGCCTGTGAACCACCCATTTGCTGTCTCGAGGTATGCCACGAATTCTCAATGTATACTAAAAAAAGTAGGACAAAATTATAAATCTACCTGTAAAATTATTTTATTATGAGAATGTGATTATAAATGAGTTTAGGAGAAAAATGAATTTTAAGAAATGGAAATCAATCTGGGCTTAAAATATTGCTTTTATTATCCATTTTTTCTTCTTCCTAATTCTATACCCTACCTCGTGAGTTGAGATACATATGCCTGTATTGTTGAAATACAATTACGTAATTAAGTAACCAGTAAATGACACATTTGTCGTGCCTATTCAAAAAAGTATATGTGCGAGAAATATGACTGAGTTTCGACCTATTAGCTTATGCAATGTGACCTACAAGGCAGTCTCCCGAACCTTGACAAACAGACTGAAAAAGGTTCTAGCCCATATCATTAGAGGCCTATTTATTTGTTTATTCCCTAGGTGCTAAACTGACACCATCGTAAGATTGGCATACCTCCCAACCAGTGACGGACGCAGATATTTGGAGTTAGTGGGGCACAATCAAATTTATACATTGTTTGGCCCCCATTTTTTGAAAATAAAAATGGGTGGAATATTTTTTTTTTTTTAAAATAAATGGTTGAAAAAGAAGGAAAAATTTTCGATTTACGTGTAATATTATTTTATGAAAGATTGTGTGGTTGAAATATATGAGAGAAAAATGAAATGTAATATAATGGGGGCCAACCGAGGGCTTAAGAAAAACAACCAATTAAAACAATCAATTCGACTGAAAAAATAATTTATTTATCAATAATCACAAATTTACCAATAAAAACAATTAATTCAATTGTTGTTTGGCAATGGAAGGATTCTCTTTTTTTCTTCGTGATTTTGGAGTTATAAAAAAAAAAAAACAAAAAAAAACCCACTCCTAAAGCTAGCGGGTCACTTGACCCACTAGGACCCAATGTGGGTCCGCCATGCTCCCAACCTATCAGATCCTTCTCGTCATTACTTCTTTCACAATGAGAGGACCTCGTTCGCATAAGTCGAAGTGGAGAGCTTTTGCACCTCCCTCCAACAGATAGAATTCCGTATTTTTGAATGGCTGAAGGAGAATGAAGAGGAGGCTATTTTCCGAGTTTTGAACGATTGATCACGGACAACATAATCTCGGCCTTTGAGCTGATACTCTGAAGTGTCGCACATCGCGGGAACTGGAATATATGGCCTTGAAACTTGACATGACTAAGGCCTACGACTGCTTCATCTACGAGGTTATGGGGAAAATTGGATTTACTAAAAGTGGATTGTGCATTTCTACTGCAACCTTCTCCTTTATTATCAATAGGACTCATGGCTTTGCCCCCCTGGGGCATTGCCCAGTAGTGCAAAGAAAAGGAGTGAGGTTATCTAACGTCTTACTGGCAGCCGTAGTGTGGGGGTTAGATTCATGAAACATGGAATTGGACTTCTTGTAAGCGCAGTGTACAAACAGCTCTTATTCCCTGGCTTGTTGGGGGCACATCTCGCGATTTACCTCCCTCACAAAACTCTAGAAAAGGGGCGTGGGGACCCTTAAGGTTAGGGTTCAACCTTTTTTTTTAATAGGACTCTGGCTTTATCAAACCGTCCTGTGGGCTAAGGCAAGGATATCCCCTCTCCCCATATTTTTGGGCCCGTGAAACAATTAAATTGCAAGATGTGTATTTCGGAAAATATACGTTTTATATGTCAAAAAAAAAAAGAAAGAAAGAAAGAAAAAAGAAATACGGATATATACAGCAATTGTATCCCTATGGCAAGGCCTGGATGCGAAAATAGTCTAAGTATAAATTAGAGAAAAAGTGCTCGAATGATTCAGGAATGAGGTGGCTTAAAATTAACGAGTCCAACATTTTTCCCACTGCCACCTGTGCTGAAAAATATTTGTAAAATGATGTATCAATAAAGAAACATGCTATGTGTACATCATTGATCACACACACACATATCAGGTGGGGTTCACAATTAAAATAATCGCGAACCCCACCCTTAGGTGAGTGCTGTAAGCGCTACTGTACTGCAAATGCTGTACATTTAGCAAAATCCATCAATAAATCGTTAGGTGAACAACTAGATGAGCAGTCAATTTTGAACAGCAAATCTCAAGTCGAATGAGGTGATCAGCATACTTTCTTCATTGACTACTAATTTGAATTGTTTAATTATTTTTGGCAACAATATTTCTTAAATATCTAAGGTTCCGCTTTAGTTTCAAAGGAAAAACAGAAAATAGTCGTGCAATCCTAATTCTATGAGGGCTAAAAAAATAGTCGCTATGTAATGGAATTTTTCCATGACCACGAACTAAATAGCCGTTGAATTTTCTTTTTTCATATATTTTATACTGTTCAACGACTTTAACATCGTCATGGAAAATTTTCTTCTCGTAAGAGTCATCCTAAGTTTGTACGAAACTCTGATCTTTGGAACGCTTAGATTTGTGCAGTGAGAGAAAGGAGAAGAAGAAAGATGAAAGTACTTTAGGGTTTTTAGTTGTTTGAAGGCTACTTCAAACATAATGAAAAATAATAATACTACATTAATTTTGTTCTCTCTCTCTCTTGATACTCTCTAAAATTTTCCTCATTTTTTAAAATTTGAAGTCATACTAATTAACATCTTACATACTTAGTTCTAATCGTCTAAATAAGAATATATTTATGATCCTTCTTCAATCATGTTATGTCATTTATAGCTTATTAGTTAACGCAAACTATAGATTTTTTAATAATATTAACGAAGTTGTTTAACTTCTAGGCTATGATTGAACAATATTTAAATAGAGAATTGCCTATGAAACTATGTCCCTCGTACATACTAAACACGTAATTGATAATTATTATTGTCATATACTTAAAACATCAAGTAATCTAAACTTTGAAGGTAGCCACGCACGTTAATTTTATTCTTATACTTTTTGATTATCTGTATATATATCAATCAAGGTATCATTTCATCAGTCTCAACCGTCCCCTCCCCTCCCACCCCATCCCACCCCCCCCCACCCAAAAAAGGAAAAAAAATAAAAAGGAAAAAAAATAAAAAGAAAAAAGAAAGAAAACATTAATTAGATGTTGGACAGCAAATAACACACTCTCGAGTCTCAACTCCCATACAGTGATTTTTCTTTCAAAAATGACTTGATTGAACATTCAATAAGGTCTCTCTCCAATGTAATTCCCAGGAGGGTCATAACTGCAAATCATAAAAACACCCCTGCCCCCATAACAGCTCACTCTAGCACATCCAATTCTTCTTGTTTCTCTCCAAACAATTTGTGTATAATGTCCACATTGCTGCCCATATGCACAAGAATTCGACATGTAGTTGTAGCTCCGCCGTTCCGACACCCATGCCACAGCGGCTTGCGCTGGGGTCCACCCATTGCCGCTACCCCAGAAAATATTTTCTCCGTATGGCCCGTTCGAGTGCTCCAAGGCACAGTCCCGGCGCCTTCGGTTGGCATACCACTCGGCATAACGGGTTAACCTGGCATCCCACACCATCGGAGGCAGCCTTAAGGCAGATCGGGCTGCATTTTGTGAAGCCAAGAATTGCTTCACATAATTTCTATTAACTGGGATTGCATTATTGCTTGAAATGAGGAGGAGAAAAAAGATGATGGAAATATAGAAGGGCTTCATTTGTTAGAAGCATACAATATTTTGATTAGTGACTATAGTTTATGACTGATCATAGTGTGTCTATATATATATATATAGATATATGAGGAGCATAGAGTAGTTGGATTAAGGAAGTTTAAAGTGTCAACTATGGGGTGGCACCCATGTTCGATAATGATTGCCACACCTTAGGGCTAGGGTGGGGTTTGTCAAAGGTATTCACAATATTCAGCCACCCAACTTTAATATTTTATTTCGGGAATAACTTAAACTTTATTTTTCTACATTTAGAGTCGATTATATGAGTTGTTTTACGCTGTTTTATTGATTAATTGTTATATGTAATGTTAGTTATGAAGCTACCAGATCTATTGACTTTAATTTCTCCAAATATGATAATTTTTTATGTAATTATAATTATTTTACTTTCTTTCTTAATTAAAAAGATTTGAAGATTTTATTCTTTATACAATATAAAATTCTAGCACAAAATATTATATTGGAGATTCTGTCACTAATTCACCTGTTATTTGCCATGTAAAAAGCTAACAAAAAAAAATATATTGTTTGGGACAGGAACTCAATCTGCCAGGTATATAACGTAGAACATCAGAAAGCTGGATAAAAGTTTCAACTAATTAGGCAACTAATCTATGGGGGCAGACAAAGTAATTGTGGCTGTATATTCTTTCATCCCCACCTATGAAAATTGCAGCAGATATATTTGTATTATGGATCTAAATAATTTTTTTGGGATTTTTGTTGAATTGTGTGATAATTTGCTTATTTTTCAGGACATTAAACTCGAAAAAATTTTGTGATGGTCTATTTCCTTTTTCTGTTTTTTATAACTTATTTGGATATTATCCATTTAAGTTTATTAAGGTAAGATTATTTTTGGTTTATCAACACATTTAAAAAGAAAAAGTCTCGTCTATTCATACGTAATTGGTTAATAACAATTAGTAACAACGATTTTAAAGTAGAAAAACTATGGTTGAGCTCCCCAATCTTTCATGTGGTGTGTTTATGAATCCTTGATCAATTTAAATCTATATCCTTGAGAAAATGAAAAACCATCAATATAGTCGCTAAAATAGCGTGAAGATTTTGGAATTAGAATGAAATGTTTGTTTAATAGTTTTACCTTCGAGTTTTGAATCAAGTCAAAGTTTTGTGCAATTTTAAAGTTTCGCATTGATGATTTTGGTCAATTGCGATCCAAATTTACATATTTAGATAGGTCCAGGACCTAAAACTCACTTTTGAGGGTTTGGAATTTATTACTTTCCCGCGATTCCATGAAAAGTTGGTAAATCCAACCCTAATTTTCCCTTTTAAAATGGTGGAACAAGAAAAAAGGAGAGGCAAACTATGCACATGATGGTGCGCCTGAACTTCAAACCATGCGTATTTTTCTGTCTCCATATCAAAATTGACTATTTCAAGATCACGTGAAGTTATACACGAAATAAAAGTACTTAGAAATGAGGTTAAAAGAAGATGCTAGCAAAGTTCAACATCATTAGATGTCTAAATTAATCTTTTATCAAATATACACTACTCTAAGACAAATAAACTTGAGAGAATTAGTTCATTTTGTAAGAATATCTATGAACATATCTCTAGAAGAATGGGATCAAAATTATTAAAATTTTCAAAATTCTTAAAACTCAATGACTATTTCTTGTCAACACCTCGGGCATGTGGGCATCATAGCACTGGATGAATATAAAGGCGTGGCCCTACATGCAGAATTCAATTGGACATAATAAAAATGATCACATTCTTTGACTTATCCCTCAGAACATGTCATTATTAAAATAGTACTGTGTTTATTAACATTATTTCACATGAAATTTGCGTACGATTTTTAGCACAATCCACTGAGGTCTCTCAAACTGCCGCCTAAATTAGCGGAGGCATGATATCACACACACAACCAGATTTTTCATTGGATTTGGTACATGTCATGTGACATTAAATCACCGATTTGAACATATACATATTGGCGAATTAAATGGATTAACCTCTTTTTGACTTCGGTTAAACACTTTTCTTTGCTCATCGAGCTTTCCACAAAAAAAAAAAGGGTGATGCGAGTACGAAGAGGTGATAGCCTAATTCTATAACGATGCTCGAAATGACTTCCAACTGAAAGGATCTCGCGCTTGAAATTTTTAACTTGACTAGCTTGATGTTTTAGGGGTTCTAATTACAAATGTAAATTTGACAATTGACCGATATTTTACTTAATATTTTATAATTTATATGACTTAAATAATGTTGCTCTTAATGAAACCAATTTGGCATGTGGATCATGATAACTTGTCATTATAAGATATAATAATGGAAGTTTTGTTATTTATATTTTGATCTTCTAGCTTTATTTCTAAGGCAAGAGATTGTGCAGGCGTCACTTTAAGTATATACATCGAGATAAGGAATTGGATACGTTAAGCATGAGATATGGACACATATTTACATTTTTTTTTATAGAGGATAGTGATTATGAAAACAATCGCAAGCACACTTACGAGTCTTGCAAACTAGTTGAGTTTATGAAAATAAGAGTTTAAGTTTTATGTCCCCTAATTTATTATTTTATTTTATTGCCATAAAATAGTGACAATAGTCTCACATTTACGGTGGATTTTTCTATTTTTTTTGCCCCCTAATTTTTTTTTTTTTTGGTATTGTGAACGTATGAAAAATTCCCAATGCATTCGCAACTATTTTGTGTTTTTTATTGGTTGTTGGCCGTAAAGTGTGATTAGTTGGAATGAACTAACATTCAAAAACTATTAGAACTCGTTGATGCGCCAATCTAACTAGCACAATTAGACTAGTCTACTTTCATAGTAAAAAAGATTCGACTAAGATATACACTTCCTCAAGAATGAAAAAATAAATAAAAAATCTTTGATTTATTTTTAATTTGATATAGTTGGTTTGTTTTCCTCTTTCTTTTGTACACATCTTTAGATTAAATCAAAACCATGTTCCATTTGCATAAGGACAACATCATTTGTATCACAAAATGTTGAAATGCATGAACAAAAACATGATGTTAAGTACCTTTATAAATTGGATGAAATAAAATAGACAGTCAAATGCCAATTATTACTGAAAAATTTTCATTTTCTATTATATCTTTTAGTGAAATTTCAATCATATCTTCAAAATTTTTTTACACAAAGCATGAGATGCCCATATAGCTTGAGTGTCACGTTTCAATAGTTCAAATCTCGAAATTTAAATTCATCTAATTCTTAAGTATCATGTTATTTTCATATCTTGAAATTTTTTTTATACAAAGCATGAGATGCCCATATAGCTTGAGTGTCACGTTTCAATAGTTCAAATCTCGAAATTTAAATTCATCTAATTCTTAAGTATCATGTTATTTGATGAATAAAATTGAAAAATCTTGAAGATAAAGTTCATCTAATTCTTATGATCTTATTCAATAAGTAAATTTGAGATCTTGAAATTAAAATTTATAATTATTAAGTGTCATGTTTAATATATAAATTCATGTGATTTGTAAATGTAATATAAGTCTTATGTTATTCAAGTATCACAAATTAAATGAGCATTCACGAAAGGTGAAGTGACATGAAGATCACAATAAAGTTAGGTATTAGGTCCAAGAAAATTGAAAGAGCACAAGGAAAAAGTCACCATGGATTATTTGTATAATTAGATGCAGGTGAAACTTGAGACTTGGTGCCTCAAGGAACTAGATCTAACACGGCACAAATTGTTAAGATCAATTGCAAATCAATTAGATAAACATTAGATCGAAGAATTGGAGTACAAAAAATGGGCCAAGATATTGGATATTAATTTTTTTCAAGACATTTTTAAAGAACAAACATGAACAATGACATAATCCCCTTCTCTAAATTCTCTCATTGATTTAAATCTGCAACAAGCTTATAATTTGCTTATAATCTGCAACATATGCAAAATCTTGTCTTAGTAACGAGGAGAAAGTCGTGAATGGTTTCTAGAGGAATTTTACATATTGTACCAATTCGTTAGCTATTATAAGAATACTGGTAATAGGAAAATCTAATACTTCAATAACAATTTCATTACCACCTAAGCCTGTTACCAAGAATATGTCGACTTCTATTGGTAGGGGTGGGCGCGGGTCGGTTCTGAAGAGAACCGAACCGAACCAAAATTTTCGGGTATTTAGTAAATAGAACCGTCGGGTCCAAATATAATTATGGAACCGTTTGGGTTCGGTTCAGTTCGGTTCGGTTCTGTATTATAATTAGATTTTTTAACATTTATAACAACATTATATAAATACAACTAATGACATATTCAATGGTTTTGAAATGTCAGTGACTCGTGGACTACCTTGTTCAAATGATCGCTATGGTCAAAATTTCGGTTGGCAGAGGTCATAGCGTCGGCCGACGATTGTATAGGTTTTGGAATGTCGACGAGGCTGCGAGAGTCGAGACAGCATTATGCACTTTAGTGTACATATTTGAGGTTATTTAGTAGGTTGGATCTTGTTGGGCTAAAAAATGAGACAATAAAAGGGGTAATTGGGCCAAAAATTAAAAAATTAAAAATAAAACAAATTATTTGGCCAAAAATTTGGATTTAGAAATTGTTAATTTGTTTAGAAAAAATTAAAATTAAAATTAAAATAATTTGATTTATTCAATATAAAAAAAATTAGAAAGATTCGGTTCTTGGTCTAGAACCGAACCGTACCTGTCGGTTTTCAATTCAGATACCCGTTCGAGTATTTAATTTGACAAGAACCGTCGGGCTCGGTTCGGTTCGGTTCGGGAGATTTGCCTAGAGCTATCTGTTGGACTAAGAGGTAAACTGGATGAATAAATTAGATGAGAAGATATGGGGCGAGGAGATCACTATATTTAAGCACCTAAGCATGTTACAAGAATGTATACTTTTGTTTGACTATCATATGTGATACTTTCTAAAAGTAGCATAGCTAATAGTAGAAAGCATGAATTTTACTCGTGTTCGATTCAAGTCCAGTGATGATAATATAATATCTATAACTCCATTATACGTAGGCGAGACTATTATTTCAACAATTTCATATTCTATGTATTCTTTGTTTTGGACCCATTTACCACCATAATATAAGACGATGAGTTGTTTTCATATCTATAAAGAACAAATAGTTCATTATGCATTTTAGAAC